TGTGTGTGTGTGTGTGTGTGTGTGTGTGTGTGTGTGTGTGTGTGTGTGTGTGTGCGTGTGTGTGTGTGACATTTTTGTATTCCATTCATCTACTGAGAGGCATCTGGATTGATTCCATATCTTGACTATGGTAAGCAATGCTATAATGAACATGGTTGTGCTGATTGCTTTAGTGTGCCTTGTGGTCTACTGAAAAATGCCCAGGAGTGGAATTGCTGGGTCATAGGGAAACTCTATATTTAGTCTACTGAGGAACCTCCATACTGCTTTCCAAAGTAGTTAAACAAGTTTATATTTCCACCAATGGTGTAATAGAGTTCCCTTTGGGCACATCCTCCCCAGCATTTGCTATTGTTAATTTCCTTGATAATGGATATTCTAACTGGGGTGAGGAGGAATCTTAATGTTGTTTCTATTTGCATTTCTTTTATGGCCAGAGATGTTGAACATTTCTTTCTGTGCCTATTGGCCATTTTTTCTTCTTTGTCAGAGAAGTCTTTTAAGTCTTTAGCCCATTTATTAATTGGGTGGTTGTTTCTTTGAGGGTTTTCTTATTGAGGGGTTTAATTTTTTGAGCTCTAAGTATATTTTATATATGAGTCCTTTGTTTGATGTATAGCTGGTAGAAATCCTTTCTTTCTTTTATGATGGTCCTAGGGTTTGAACTCAAGGTACATGTTTCACCAGCTGGCACTCTACCATTTGAGCCACACCACTAGTCCTTTCCACTGGTTACTTTGGAGACAAATGCTCATGAATTTTGCTGTCTAGGCTGACTGTCTTTGATTCAATTCTCTGATTTTATATCTTAGACTTCTGTCTACCTAGGATTACAGATATGAGCCACTAGTACATAGTTCATGTGGTTATATCCATATATCTTTCTCACACTTTGAGTCAGATAGGGAGCAAATAGAATGGTGTGTGTGTGTGTGTGTGTGTGTGTGTGTGTGAGTGAGTGTGTGTGTGTGTGTGTGTGTGTGTGTGTGATTCCTACTTGTCCTCAAGCATCTTGATATCTAGAGAAAGAGCCAGGTACCAAACCAGTCATGGTAATGACACATGCTCAATCTCCTTTCTAAATCAGGTTGGAATGATACTTAGCTAGGGTGGTGGTTCCAGGATGTGGAAGAGTGGAGAGAGGACTGCTGAGGAGAAGTGACATTGGAGTGACCCTTTTTTTTAAAGATGAGCCCAAACTTACAGGAAGGGATTCAAAGTAGTAGGAGAAAGACAGCTGTGAAGAACCTATGCTCCTGACCCAGTGTGCAGCTGGCTCCCTGGATGGGAAACCAGAACTTGGCTTGCAGTGAGGTAGAATTATGGAAGGACTATGACTATGGAAGGCTCTTGTCAGTGTATTTTGTGTGTTTCACCTACAGGAGTCAGTAGAGGAGCAATTTGCTTTAGATTATTATATCAAAGATTACAGTAGCCACATGTAAGGAGTAGATTGGAGGAACAAAGAAAAAAACAAATTCAAAGACCATGCAGAGGTCTCAGGAGGAGACTGTTGTAGTGGTCTAAATGGAATTCAGTGTGAATCTTCCAGAGGTATGGTGATTGAAAGTAAGACTTGAAAATAAATCTAGGTTTTTCTCCTGTGTTGAGCTTTAAGTTGGATTGATAAGGCATGGAAGGAAGACAGGTAGGTTGTAGATTCCTTTCAGGCTCTACAGTGCCAATGAAACATAGACTTGGTCCTGGACAGAGAGAACTGTGAAATGTCATTGCTGTTGCTATCATAATAAGAGTCATCATCGTGATCATCATCATCATCATCACCATCATTGTAGCCTTAGAAACCAACTCATATTAGGAGCTTACTTTCTGTCTGGCACTTCGCTGAGCCATTTCCACCTCATATCACATTGAGTTCAGTTACTAGCAACATCTACAGTTGGCAGGTGAAGATGCCAATGCTCAAACAGGTGAAGGTAGTTTGCTGTTGAAGATTCCATAGCAAGGTGAAAAGTTCAGCTAGGATTCAAACTTTGGTCTCTATGGATTGAAAGCCCAGCCTCTAATCACTAGAATACAGTTTATGGCACAGATGACATCCAACATATGATAGTGCTTCTTAAAAGTATTCAACTCTTGCAGTAGTGCAAAAGTGATTCTCAGCCAGTAGAAGCTGTGCTTTGAATTTTGATTTTGGAGCTTTTGCTCCTCTTTACAATGGTAGACAGTAGTTGTCAGTACAGGTCTAAGTTTGCTACATAGTCACAAGGGAAAGGGAAAGTACTGGTACTAAGACTTGATGTCTGTTAGGTTAGATGCACCAAATGCATGCCAAGCTCAAGACATTTCTGGACACAATTCTATCATTAAATTGTGGAATGCATTGTGTTGACAATACTATCAGTAACTTCCGTGCTTGTTCATTGGGCCAAGAGAGAACTCAAATAACTGTAGCTAAGAACTTAGAGTAGCTAAGAACTATAGCTAAGAACTACTGAGTTTCAGAGGATATGTTTTATGTGGTGAGTAAAAAATTCCTTTTTTGTGTGTCTGTGTGCCAATACTGGGGCTTTTACTCAGGGCCTCAAGTTCTCACTTAGTTTTATTGATCAAGGCTAATGCTCTACCAATTGAACCATACTTTTACTGCGATTTTTTTCTTTCTGGTTAATTGGACATACAAGGCTTGTGGACATTACTGCCAGGGACTCTCAGATCTCAGCCCCCTGTAAAGCTGGGAATACAAGCATGAGCTACCAGCTCCTAGCTAAGAATTGTCAGGTGAAGAAATGAGAAGGAAAGAATTTCAGGATGGAACCATTTATGCAAGCTCATAACATTTGGGAGTGTCTTGTGTGATCAGAAAACAGTGACTGATTCCACATATTTGACTCTTTGAGTGAGATCCAGGGAAGAGGACTCAGAGTTGGGACTCCTCATGGTTTTCCATTAAGCTAAAGGTTCCACTGGAAGGAAGTAGCTTGTAAATAGAGAGGAACTCATGGAACTCTGTATTTATTTTCCTCTTGATGTTGCATGTCTGTCAACGAACCATCAATTCCATCTTCAGCAATCTGTTCCCCTGCCCTTTACACAGATACCTACCTCCTTCTTTAATGGGACACAAGAATAAGAGTGAGCTTTGCCAGCAGAAATGAGCTATAGATGCTGCCATATCCTTGAAATTGATCTCTGAGAACAACATTGGTCATGCAGCATCCGTGATTCAGCATTGTATGTAGCCACTCATCATTCAATGATGAGTCAATGACTGTACTCTCTTGTGTTTCCTTTCAGTTCCTCCCCAGATCATGAATATCTCCTCAGACATCACAGTGAATGAAGGAAGCAGCGTGACCCTGCTGTGTCTGGCCATTGGCAGACCAGAGCCAACTGTGACGTGGAGACACCTGTCAGTCAAGGGTAAGGTTTCAGACCTGGTTGAAGTTTGCAGGGTGAGTTTGTGAAGTGCTTGGCTCCTGTGTAAACAGAACTCCAGGAATGAGAAAACATCAGTATGTATGTGTGTGCATGCATGTGTGTAATAAATGTGTCAATGTAAAATCTCACAGGCAACGACTGTTAGATGCTGAGAATTTAATTTAAAAAACAACAAACCAGGAGAATTTATAGAAGAAATCTACTGAATTACCTACTTAGTTCTTGTTGTGATTATAGAAAATTTTTGCATTGGCTACTGCAGAAAAATAACAATGATTTTTAAAAAAATAGGAGAATAACTTTCAGTGAAGACATTCAGATAGGGTGTGTGTGTCCTTTTGTACCTTTGGCATCATTGTCAGACAGGCGGAGAGAAGGCCCTCCATGCTTCAGTACATTCAGGATATTTACCCACAGTCACACCTGTTGGACCTGGCATAAATATTTCACCTGAGTAGAAGAAGGACAACGCAGATGGGGAAGCATATCTGGGCATGACTGTCCTGCTGGGCACTCAATAATTAGTATACGCATCAGTTATAATCAACTCCAACTTAGTAGAGGGGAAGCCATAAGGGCATTGGCCTTGTCTCTTTGGAAATCAAATCTGCTCCAAGTTAATCTTGAGGAGATGGGAACAGAGCCATTTGATACATTTACACCACTGCTAGAAGCTCTGATTAATTCTGGAAATCATTCAAGAAACAAGTGCTCCCTCAGGCATTACAAAGTCCAAATCTGATACCCAGTGAATAGAAAGCTGTGTAGCTGTGAGTGAGGTAAAATAATGTAGATTAAATGAAAACATGGGAGTAATTCTTAGTAACCTTGAAAAAGGTAAAGTTCTGCTAGGACATGAAAAGCTCTCACTATGAAACAATGAAATGCTCTCACTATGAAACAAAAAAAATGAAATATTCCCACTAGTTTGCAGGACTTCCATAACCAAGTGTCAAAAATTGTGTGTGACTTAAATAGCAGAAGATGTATTTCTTCTAATTCCTGGAGGCTACAAGCACAAGATAAAGGTGTTGCAAGGAGAATCAATTCTAGGCATTTGTTCTGGCTTTCCGGTGATTTGTCAGCAATCTCTGGAATTCCTTCATTTGTAGACAAATCATCCTCATCTCTGTGTTCATTTTCCATTACATTCTTTATTTGTTTCTGAATGTCCTCCTTTTTATAGGGACACAAGTCACATGATGCTGATGCTAATGACCTTTTGTGAATTTGGTCACTTCTGTAAGGCATTTTTTTAAAACATGTCACAATCTGAGGGCCTAGGAATGAGGACTTCAAGGTATTCATTCTGTTGAGGGAGAATATATTTCAACCCATGACAACTTCATCAAAACTTAAAGCCATTATTAAGAAATAGTGAATGGTGGGCATTAGTGATGCATGACTATAATCCTTGCTATTGAGGAGGCTGAGATTTGGAGGGTCATGTGGTTCAAGGCCAGACTGGACCTGGATCCTCCAAATCAAATAATAATGAAAAAAAGGAAAAATTAATGACAAAAGCCAAGTCAATAATCACATAGAAAGGACCTTAGGGGAGAAATGACTACAAAAAGGTACAAGGAATTTGGAACAGTTATATATTTTGAGTAAAATGGTGGTTACATTGGTGTTAATATTAGTCAAAACATGTTGAATTGAAACTCTTGTACAACGATCATATAAAATAAATATATATGATATATATATCTAAATAAATTAGTCAAGACTAATACAACTGTATACAAATTTCAATAACATTTGAAATATAGGCATAGACATGTGGTTCAGATTTAGTTTCCTAACTTGGAATATCACTTATGTCCATAGAACAAAAAGAGAGACTTAATTCATTACAGGGGCAACACTCACCTTTCATTTTAATCCCGTACAAACTGAGAACATGAATTTCTGCTCATGACTTATAGGGAAGATGATACTGAAATAAATCTTCTGAACCCTCTTTATGGAAAGACCTTAAACATTTGCTTAGCAAGTACCAGGCCTTCTTATGCCATGAGGTCAATCAATCAATCAATCAATCAACAAAAGGAGAACAATACCTCAACCATTAAAAAATAACCTTAGATATTGAAGCCCAGAATTTCAGTATTATAAAATGTTATTGAAAGCTGCCTGTCAGTGGCTCATGCCTGTAATCCTAGCTACTCAGGTAGTAGAGATCTGAGGACTGCAGCTTAAAGCCAGCCCAGCAGGAAACTTTGTGAGACTCTTACCTCCAATTAACCACCAAAATGCTAGAAGTGTAGCTATGGCTCAAGTGGTAGAGTAGAGCACTAGCCTTGAGCAAACAAGTTCAAGGACAACACCCTGAGTTCAAATAATAGGACCAGTATGCTGTTTCTCCTTCTCTGTCTCTGTCTCTGTCTCTCTCTCTCTCTCTCTCTCTCTCTGACTCACTCAGACACTCACTCACTCAATCTATCTATTTAACTATGTACATATATATGACAAAATATTAAAATATATGAAGAGCTTCACTAAGCTCAACTTTAATATAAGCACAGCAATTACATATGGTCCCTGACTTTGACTTTCCCAGAATCATAGTCTCAGGAAAATTTTGCCTAAGACCAGGGAGATACTCAGGTTCATGATATACGTGAAACACCTTTAAACATCAGACCAGTTTTTATGTATTTGCTAAAGTCATATGTATTTATAAATGTTTGAAATCCCAGAATATACTTATTTGATCCTAAATACATAGTTCTCTAAGCCTAGAAATATTTCATGTGAGAATTTGACTCTGTGTGTTTTGAAGCAATTCTCTCTCATACAGTGGTGAATTTTCCCTTTTAAAAGAAGGTCTTATTCATTCATATTCCCAATCTTTGATATAAAGCAATAGTTCCCATTTAGCCTAAAAAAAGCCTGCGAATTCCAAATTTAAATGATCCTGTTCCTCTTTAAATCCCATGGACTGTACTATACTCTGAACTTCCTTTGTCTCCTCCTCTCCGGCCTTCACTCCAGTTTTCTTTCATTTCCACATTGTCTTTTTTTCTAGCGCTCTTCATGACATTTAAACATTTCAACCCAAAGCATTGTTTCCAAACACTGAAAGGCTTTGAAACCTGGAGAGTATGTAAGTTTAAAAATATGTATTTTTTTGTTAGAACCATGTTTCTATCTCTCTTGAACTAGAGAAGTCATTCTAAAGGTTTTCAGAAGAATAGCCAATAAAACTTGCAGCATTTTTAGAAAAACATGTTGGTTAATTTAGGATGGAGGAATAAGAAATAAAAGCTGCAATGACATTTCCTTGGAAATTCCAGCGGGATTACAAGAGAGAATTTAACTGCCTGGACAGCTGTGTTCCCAGAATACTAATGCAATATTTAAAGTATATGGCTTAAATGTAGGGATCTTTGTAAAAGGAAATGAATAAACAAGATTCTCATGTAAGAAAAAAAGTGCGTCAATGAAAAGATGGTTAAAGATGAAGAACAATAATCACAGTTGTGGTTTACAATGAAGGTCTGAGCACATTGCATCAACTGCTAGAATAAGAAGTCAAAATAAATAAGAAGTCAAAATAAATGAATACATAAATCCGTTGTTATACTACAACCTATTATTGGTATGCTTTGTTGGGTCAGAAATGATAAGGAATATCTGAATACAAAAAAAGGATAGTTGTAAAGACAGAAAAATAGAGCTTGAAATATAGAAATAAGATCTGAATGTGAAATGATAGTTTGAAAAGTGAAAGGTTTGGGTAGGGTTGCACTGGCAAAAGTTTTAAAATGTTGGGGGATGGGAGGAAACAAAAGAGAAGGAAGGCCCGATAACCTTTGACCATTCCCAGAATGGAAATAGTCCAGTCACTGCCAGCTTCCTTTGAAATGACTTTGTCTTGCAGCTTCAATTTCTCATGAAAATAAAGACACCAAAAGAAACCTTCCTTACAAAAGTTAAGTGGGGGTGTTGAATCTCCAAATTTCAAATGTGGACCTACATTTCTGATCTCTAGACTGGGTAAATGTCTAAGAATCACCTAACCCCCATTTTCCTTTGTAGTGTTAAACATGTGCACAGATTGCTGGAAATGGCAATACCAGAGGACATGGACCTCACTTCTGATAAAAGCTGGATTTTTCACAGGATGCAGATAAAGTGCTGTGAATATCACCTAGAAAAAGTGCTCCTGAAATAAACATTTGGTGATATACAGTGGACATAAGGAACACCAATCAATTCACTATGTATCTATTCTTTGGATTTAAAAGGCCATACTTTCCACACACCAATAGGCTCACACCAGTAATCTAGCTATTCAGGAGGCTGAGCTCTGAGTATTATAGTTCAAAGCCAGCCTAGGCAGGAAATTCTGTGAGACTCTTATTTCTAATTAAGCACCAACAAGACAGAGGAGGAGCTGTAGCTCAAGTTTTATAACACTAGCCTCCTTGAGCACAAATGTCCAGGGACAATGCCCAAACGCTACATTCAAACTCCAGGATGAGCAAAAGCAAACCAAAACAAGCTCTGCTTATTTTTTTCAGTAGCAGACAATAGCATCCTAAAAATACACGCTCCTATGAATGTGCTGGGGAATGGAGCACTTGTTCACAGTTTCCACATGCATAGAAATCTGTACCAAGTGATCATCAGCTCAGGAAACAGAATAATGATGGACTCTCAAGCTGCAACCTCAAAGAGATTTCTGCAGGAAAAGGTAGTCAGGTCTCAGAACAGGCAGGCACAGTGGGTTGGCAAGTATCCAGTGTGTTTGGAGCTCATTGTGAATAAGATAGGTTTCAAGACATATTTTCTTTTTTCTTTTTTTGGTCAGTCATGGGGCTTGAACTCTGGGCCTGGGTGCTGTCCCTCAGCTCTTCAGCTCAAGGTGAACACTTTACCACTTAAGCCACAGTGCCACTTCTGGCCTTTATCTGCTTATGTGGTGCTGGGGAAACGAACCCAGGGCCTCATGAATGCAAGGCAAGCCCTCTACC